AGACGGGGGAGAGGAAAACGGCAGGAGATCGCAGCCCTTTGAAAGGAGAGACAAGAGGACAGGGGAGCGGAAAATAATAAGGAAGAGGGTAATAGGAGTGTGAAAGAAAAGGGAAGTCAGTAATAAGTAATCAATAAGAAGAAGGAAATGAAAGAGAAGCAGAAGGAAGAGGAATATATGAGGAAGACGACGAAGCAGCAGATGTGTCCGGAAGGCTGTAATGTTGCTTAATGTGGGGATGGCGACTACTGCCCTCCCATAAACAGGGCAACTATGGCAACAGTCAACAGCCTTTTATTAACAGAACTTGTTCCGCTCACAATGTTTAGGTTGTTTGCTCAGCAGAATTAGTTTAAAATTTAATTTAATTTTAAATATAAAATTTTAATTCATTTTATTTGTTTTCTTCATCTAATTTTCTGAAGTAATATTTATAATAGGTGCACATTAAATATTTCATAAAATTCTGACTAATACATATAATTAGTAAGAATATTTTTAAAAAACATATAATTATAATAAATAACTAATTTAATAAATTTTTTTAATCCAACTATTTGAGAGAGACTGAAGGCCAAAGAGATGTGGGACCTCTAACTCACTGTAATTGACCCGCCTCCGCGCTTTCGTCCTAAACACTAAACCCAGGCATCTCCCCTCCTCACTACGCACCCAAATGCTCATTTTGTACGTATCCTCTGAAAGAGACCTGCATGAGTATCATATCATTCTATCCATGTACGCCCATATATCATTTCAAACCATTTTGGCTGATGTCATCAATGTTTATTTATGATATTAAATCTAAAGATAACTATGATAATTTAATGAAAGCCACGCCTTTACATCTAATATATACAATAACGATTTTAAAACAAATGGTATGAGTTGTTTATTATAATGAGGTAGCCACGACTTGAGGTTGCTAGTTGCTACGATAGCTGGCACGACGAATGAACCGAGTTGAGAGTTTTGGGGGAAAAAATATAGTGAAGGTACTCCTCCGGTCCTTATTATAAGACCCAATTTGACTTTTTATTTGGTCCTTATTATAAGACCCAATCCTTGCATGGAAGCCGTAATTTCTGAGTTGCGCGGAAGACAGCGTCATGAATAGTGGTTAATGGTCAAATTGGTTCGTGGCCACACTATACTCTCCCTTGTCCCTTTTTACTTCTTCCCGTGATCCTTTGACTTGTAGGGTCAAAACCCCAATTTGTCCCGAGAGATCCCTTTCCATTCTTCTTGTTCATCATATACATATATTTATAGATATATATATATATATATATATATAACACAGGGCAACGATTAGGTAAACATGCATATAAAACATGAACCAATGCTAGATTTCTGACCTTTAATAATGTTCTTATGTGTGTGTATTGGCATCAAAAATAATAAAAATAATATCAGCGTCGTCAATAGGCAATGAGGCGGGCCACACCTTAATTTGACGAAGAAATGAGGCAGCCACCCACGTCATGGGATTTGGGTTTCCCTCAAATTGTTACGAGTCGCTCGCTTTTATAGCCTTCTTTTATCTGTTTTAATCTCAAGCCCATTACTTTTTTTTATCAATAAATGCCTCACCCCTCCCCCCCAGAAAAAAAGCGCACACACACACACACACGCGACCAAGTGCCAAATCTATGAAAACCATCTCCAGGGATGGATCTGCAAGATCGAATTGAGTGCGACGAGGTTCAACTAACCTTTTTTTTAATCTTTTTTTGAGCAAGGAGAAGTTTAATTAACCTTAATGTTCTTTGAAACCGCCGTTACATAACCAAAATGCTTATTACTATCTTCCATTCTTAATATAAAACTTTATTTAACTTTTATTTTGATTATAAATATAAGACTTTTTTCCACTTTATCTCTCATATTTATGTATTTTTTTTTCAAAGTAATCTTTTTAACAATGATAATTTTAGCCAATACACTTGATTAGCAAGGATATTTTAAGAAAAACAATCCATATTTATTATAAATAACTAACTTAACTTCTTCTTTTTTAGTCTCCTCAAATTAATCAACTAGCTCTTATAATTAGGACCGAATGTAGTATTTTACATTATTTTAGCCGGAACTGTTATTTACGTTAATACGAGACTGTGATTATATTTATCTGAGGGGGTCGAATTTCCGAGACCTGATAGCTTGACTAATTAAATGCAAGGATAATTATTCACAAAATAATTTTTTAAAAAAGACTATTCCAGAAAAAGGATGATGAAGAATGAAACCCTGCCCATTTTAAAAAAGTAATAAAAAAACGGAAACCGTCCGTGATGATTGCTTTTGTGATTACAATTAGAGAGAAGTCTAGTTATAGCCGCAATTGCACTAAATAATTGAATGAATGAATAATATGCAAATCAAACAAGATACGTTTACATGAGTCCATTGTGTCATCACCACGTCATCCTTGACCAAAAAAAAAAACAACAGAAAATGAAAACACGCCAGCAACCCTAAACGAAGTCCCCAGAAACAAACAAACCATAATCTTGCCCAGTTAAAGGCCCGCAATCTTGCCAGGTTATTTCTTGTTATGTTTCCAGACTTAAAAAAAATATTTATGAAAGTATTTACAAATCATTTACTAACAACGTTATTTGTATTGTACCCAAAAGAAAAAACAACGTCTTTGTAAGTTATAATTTATGAGTTGATTCCTTACCTACTGGGCTATCATCGGTTTCTTTATACATCAAAGTATCAATTCACATCATGCAATTTATAACAAATGGCTCAGATAAAAATTTTTGAATCGGCTTCTCTATTTCTCAAATTCTGATGTAAATATATAAATATATACTCTTCCGATCCTTAATATATGACCTAATTTTTGAATTGGTTTTAATCCTAAATATAAGATCCATTTCTCATATTTATCAATTTTATCTAAATTACCTCTGTGGATACTCTTCAGCTATAATCAAGTAGAAGAGGGAGATGGGGTATTAAAAAATAATTATGGTCTTTTAGGAAAAATGTGTCACTTTTCTTATAATTAACCAACTTACCTAACTTCCTTAATATAATCAATTTAATTAAATGAGTCTTATATTAAAGATAGAAGGAGTATATATATAAAATTTTTCATGCAACGGGGAATAAATTGTTAAGCGAGCTGTGCATAAACGCAAAGGACAAAACATGCCTGATAAATATATTCGAGCCCATTCAGGAACATGGCAAAGTTACCTCTTAATGTAATTTTTTTTTTAATTGACAGAACAATTTATTGAGAAGGAAGTTTTTCATGTTCAGGGGACGGAGACATCTCATTCTTAATTATTTTGCATAAATTGGAAATAGATTTTCTTTTAAAAAAAAAAACATTTCAGTTGCGAATAAATTCATCTGTGCCCAGTGGGTATAAACAGGATATTCAGATTGTCTGGGCGCCACCTGCATTAAGTGGATTTCACTTCAGCCTTGGCGCAAAAGATCATTTAAATTTAATAATTTTTTAACTATAAATAAGGCATATTTATTTGGAAACACCGGTCTAGATAGTAAAGTTTGACCCTAACAATTTGAATAAACGGGTTGGTCAAAAAGTCTGAATTATTAGAATCTTTTTAAAATATCTTAAATTCTACCTTTGAAAAAAGCATGCCTGCAAGTATACCTTTTATTTTATTAACTAATATATTTTAATTAGTTGTTATATTAAAATATTTTTAAATATGTTAATTATATTAATCAATTTTATGAATTTTTCTAATTATTATATTATTAAGATATTTTTGTACTTTTAAAAATAGAAAACCTATTATTATAAGAAAAAAGAAAAGTACGATTTTCTAAAAATCTAATCTTGAAATATTTTGGACTCACTGTCATGGGCCCATTGGGTTCGGCCCAAATGAACCTACCAGGATTCTTCTAGAGTATGCTTAGGAATGTAAATAATAGCGATCATATCAATTGTGACTCTCACCAGCTATAAATCGTGAGCTCACGAGAAAGACTTCACAGGGTCAAAAAGGAACTTTTGCCTTCTTGGTTGGCCAAGAAAAGATATCTGTCTCCCCCTTTGTGATCCCATATTTGTTTTATAATCGCGTGTATATTACCATATACGTGGATTTATGTGTGTTATATTCCTCCTCCTTTACTTTAATTATATTTTGTCGAAATTAATCTGAACCTTTTTATTTATTTGTTATTGAAGTATATGTGAACTGTTCACCGGATTAAAACTATCCTTATGTATAAGAAAATGAAAAACACTACCTCCGGTCCTTAATATAAGACCCTGTTTGACTTTTTGTTTGGTCCTAATTATAAGACCCCAATCCATTTTGTCTGTCATATTTATGTATTTTTTTTCCAAGACAGTCCTTCTAATAATGATAGTTCTAGTCAATACACTTAATTAACAAGGATATTTTAGGAATGACAACATTTGTTTATTACAAATAACTAACTTAACTTACTTCCTTGATCTCTTCAAATAAGTTAATTGGGTCTTATAATTAGGATTGGAGGTAATATTCTAGTTGTCCGGAAGAGAGTGAATCTGAAACCTTTATTTCGTTACATGGGCTCACAAGAATGAGGGCACTGGGCCAAAATATTATACTTCGGGGACTGATAATATCTGAACAGATAAAGAAATTAAGTAACAAACCAAAACATGATTAAGCTCACTAATCCATCCATATATCCTTTAAATTAAATTTTAACTGTACATACCAGTCTACATTTTTAAACATTATTTAAGTCAATTAGACGGCGTACCATTGTAACAGACAGTCTACTCAATAAATAGAAGCCATTCGTGAAAAACAGAGAGAGCAGCTCAAATGAATCAATGAGTAAGGAGTGAGACAGGATTAAGAAGAAGGATTAAGAAGAAGAAGAAGAAAAATAAAGGGAAGGCAAAATTGGAGATTCATAGAAGGATGGAAATAAGGCGAGTACGGCGTGTGTCTGGCAGAATTTAAAAAAAAGAAGAAGAAGAAAAAAAAAAGAGGTCAGAATCAGAAACGAAGAGTCCTATGCTTGATAATGCCCCTGTAAAGAGCTGCCCTATTGGGAGGCATTACGTCCTCCAATCTAGGAGCACCCTCCCTCCATTCTCTGCTCTTATAACCCTTCGTCTTCCCTTCCTCCTCTACTCCAACCTCTATCACTTTCTCTGCGAATCGCACCTTCTTCTTCCCTTGTCCCTTCTCACAGTTACCTTTTATTCACAAATTTCACCACATTTAACACCAAAACAAAAATTCCATCTTTCCGGAATGATAACTTCAAAGACTAGAAAAGAAAACGAAAAACAGAGAGAGAGAGTGGTAGTACCAGAGATTTGGAACTCAAACTTGTTCATGAAGTCAGACACCAATCGCTTATGGAGGTGATGAAGCAGAAAAGCCATACTTGCCGATACGGAGAACACGGCCACCAACCCATATCTGGTAGGGCTATCCATCGTCATCTTCTCTGCTCTGCTTCCGAATTTGTAAAATTATTGGATGTATTTGGATGAGGGAGGAAGAAGGAAGATACTAGGCATGATCCAGGAAGACAAAGAACATGGAAAGAGGCATTAAATGGGGAGAAAAAGAGAGGAAGAAAAGAGGGGACGAAGAATCATTGTTTTTTCCGGGGAAGAAAATTATGAGAGGAGAAGGAAGAAAGAGAATGAATGCGGTGTTGGAGTCTCTGTATATATATGGAACATGTGAAACGGAATTAGCCTCTTCCTCTGTAAGGCAACGGTCGCTTTGTTTACCTATTTATTTAGCACCATCAGAATCTTGACCCTGACATTCACACTAATGGCTAGGGGAAGACCTCAAACAGGGAAGCTTCCTTTTTTGGGGACCCACAAAATGGCGACTCAATTTATGTATGCGTCCAATATTTCTGCGTTCTCTCTCTCCCTCTCGGGTCTTGGCCTCTTGGGTTTGTCTCGTTCATCGTGTTTTTATGACCCACCCATGATATGAATCTCCTATTCCACATGCCCCCACCATTCATATCTTTATTTAGCTTTCCAAATATGACAAAAGCACAAACAGGTTAGTTTAATTTATGGTGCTGAAATTTTTTTGGGACTTAGAAAAATTCAGTTTCGCTATTTATTCCAGAGGTCATCTCACCACGGCCTGTTAAGAGGCTTGACGAGACCATGCCTTTGATAGAGCGGAGTTTATGAGTTATTATAATTATGATATGATGCATCGCCATCAACAAAGGGTCCATAGCTCAGTGGTAGAGCATTTGACTGCAGATCAAGAGGTCACCGGTTCGAACCCGGTTGGGCCCTTGTTGTGATTTAATTTTTCATTTCTCTGTGAATGACCAAGCAGCCAGTCATCCATTGACTATTTGTTCTTCCTCCAGTTGGGGCCTTCGGCATCTTCTTTTTCTTTACCCGTTGGAAAAAGAATAACCTCTCCGACAAGACTTTATTCTGATTGGACAACCTTTTCCAGAACTGATGTACTTGGTTATAGTAACCGCAAGTGATCGTAAGGATGTTGTTTAGCGTTTATATGCTTCCATCCGTCTGCGGCTGAATGACTAAACGTGCGCTAAATAAACATATGGTGTTTGAATTCATGATTTGATAATTTAATTTTTGTATAAAAACGATTTTAAATCAAAAGTAAAAATCTGAAACTTACAGGCTTTGCCTTTTGAAAAGTAGAGAGAAAAAGTTAAAAATGAGGTGGATCCACTTTTAAAAAATTCACTATTCTCTCTTATTTTAACTACGGCTTTTAAATAATTAATTTAAGAGTAATAAGAAATTAGTTAAAATTAATTAAAAGTGATAAATAGGTTATAAATATGTTTTTTTGGGTCCATAATATAAATCATTTTAATTAATTTATCAAGTGACTTATTTTTTGAATCAAGTCATTTAAATAGGTACTGGGGACTTTTGGCGATGATGAATGATAAGAAGGTTGGATGCCGTTGAAGAGCCTCCTCTCCCAGTCCGTGCGTCAAATACATTGTTTTCTTTGATGTGGGTGGATTGGGGGTGGCAGACCTGCTGCCCTTCTAAAGTTTTGTTTTTGGGCGCATTTTTGTGCGCGTATATTTCTTTATCAATGACACATCATATATATCTATTTTATTTTTCATCTTCTACAGCTCCTCATTTATTTTTCACTATTTAAATCTCTTTTTATGAATAAAATACGAATCTGGGAATTAATATAAGATTTTATTTGACTTTTATTTTGGTCTAAATATAAGACCTCAATTCATTTGTCTCTCATATTTATATTTTTTTTCTAAGGTAGTCCTTCTAACAATGATAATTCTAGCTAACACATTTAATTAGCAAGGATATTTTAAGAAAGATAACACCTATTTATTACAAATAATTAACTTAACTTCTTTTTTAATTTCTTAAATTAGTCAACTACTCTTATAATTAAAACTAGAAGTAGTATATATCAAAAATGCACTAACACCCAAAGCAAATTCCAACTCTGCCGTTGTTGTTTTTTTGTACAAACTCTGCCATAGTTTTAACTCTCAGCTTTCGCCCCCCCCCCCCCCAAGGCCTTCACCACTGTCATTCTCTAACCTTACCATTGTCAGTGCATTCTAGCTACTATCGAGGAGCTTCGAAATCGCCCTTCTTTGAATGAGAGTTGCATTATTCAAATACATCTTCCAAAACAAGTCACATAAAAAGAGATGCATTTATTTCTTTTTGACAGATCAAACGCATTTTAAAGTCCAGCTTTTCATTCCCTTTCTTGTTTTTTTCGCATATACATTTCCTTCCCTGTTCCAATACTCCCAAGGGGGTCTTGGTACATTCAATGAATTCAGCAAAACACAATTCTCCTCCCTCGAGGAAAAAGGTGACAACAGAGATTGGATTGCTCCCAAACTGAACATCACACTGAACTGACGTGATCTGTAATAAAATTGGATAAGGTTATGAAAATCATATCTTTAATGAGAGCCGAAATCCGGAGCTTCGTAGTATAATTACATATAACGGGAGGCATCTTCACATGATGGGCCTTGATACAGTTAATATTCAGAAATTAGCATGTCGGAAAACATTTATTGCAGAAGTTATCACAAGGTACTCTGGAACTTAGAATTATGCCTCAGGAACCTGCTAAAGCGATTAAGCGTCTTTCCCTGGCTGTTCCAACTGTGTCTGGTGCACATGCACCCACGTGAACTGGCCCGAATCCTGAAGGTCATATTTCACTCGTCTCAGTGGACAATAAAGGGGCATCATGAAAAATTACTCAATGCATTGAACTTCACTAACCCACCTTTTTCCTTAGTATGACAGTGTGCACACATCCTTGCCGCGTCTCACCTGTAGAGTTGAAGACAATATAGACAAATCAAATTTAACTCGAGGCATCTGGGGAGATTTTCCAACAATCCTACAGATGTCCAGCCACTGTTCCATGTATATAGATTATTGCACATGCCACATGGCAAAGAGTCCAACACGTAAACATATAGCTTTTCCTAAGGTATGCAGCAGAAGAGGAATCAAATACCATGATAGTCTAGCAACGTGAGAGGATGAAAAAATTGCTTACCACATGACTCCCACGTATGAAACTTCACCAGCCAAGCATCTGAACTAAGCTGAGTAGCCAATACACTGTCCACCCAAATCCTATATTTTTTTCCCCGCTTGTCCCCATAGGATTCTCTGAGAAATTTTACAAGCTCCCCAATACGATGCTCAGAACCAGAGGGATGAATAAAAGTGCCAGATGGATCCTGCGTATTTAAAGAGAATGGTTGAGACAGATTTTAAGAAAATAAATTCTAAATGGTGTTCTATGATAAATGTCACGTCCAAGTAAATTGGTGGAATATTATAACACAGGAGCAATAAAATGAAAGAAAATTGAAAGTAAATAGAATGGATAAGATGCGATGATGGTGGGATGATGGGTTCTGGGGTATTAATTGACAGTACCCCAGGACATGGGAGAGCAATAGCTACGCTTATTCAAGCAAAACCAAACAATCACAATAATAGACAAATTGCTGGGCAGAAACTAGAAAGTAATAATTTTTGCAGGATGGGATAGCAGGCACACATAAACTGCTTCTAGATCTGCAAGGAATTGCTCAGACTTCTCAACTTCAGCACGCCTCCACTTTTCACTTAATAAGTTAATTTTTACAATTTCATGCCCCGGAGATGTATTTTCAACAACTTTTGAAACGTCCGGAACATCTCTTGGAGTCAGGTTTGTGCCTAACTTGAAGTGACCAATGGCTTGTATAATCCCAGATGCACATCGCTCTGTGGCATGGATAATCTTGGGGTTGTCTTTCACATTTTTGGCATGCCACTGCAATAACTCTTCTTGGGCATTGCTCACCTACATAATGAATGAAAATGACTGAGCAAAAGATATTGTCACTGACAAATCAAAACTAACATGATTAGGAAATTTATGGCCGTAAACAAATAGAACCGCCAACCATGACACCATAGACTCCTGGAATGCTGAATAACTCTGCATCATTTCCAGAGTCACCACAAACAAGTGTATTGATGGGACGCTTTCCCTCAGTTTCAAATTTTTTTAGCAGATATGCAAGAGCTTGACCTTTGCCAGCGCTTTGTGGTAATATGTCCAAATCAATTCCTCCACTATATATTATTTTAACATCCAACTGCCAAAATGTGAAGCAACAATACGAAACTATTTAATTTGTAATATTAGAAGAAAAAAGAATTGTTAGTTCAGTGCTAATACAACGCATACACAAATTAGTTGATGAGAAATAAGGATTCCTGTACTGGGGAAGAAAACAATTGTAAGAAAGGAGTCATATCTTTACCCCACGCTTTCGCAATGTCTCAGAAAGAGCTTCTATCACATTTTGAGCCTTATCTTTCTTGATATAAAAGCTTACTTTGTGGGGTCGCTGCTCTGATTCTGCCTGCAGTACCAATTATTTCAGAAAGGACCTCCATTAGGTATCAATTCATTTAATGATACTAAGCGAAGCAATTTTGTAGGGGGATCTAACAAGTCATACCAAATATCAACAGCTGAACCTCAGACAACAACCAATCAATCACTGTCATTAACTATATATTATACCTGACGACTAAGTTCAGAAAATTTGCTTGTTTCCTCAATGACAATGTTCCTGTCCCATTTCTGATTCAAAAATTCTTCCCATCCGTCATCTGGCACCATTGATTTACCATAAGTTATCTCAGTTCCCACAGACATTATGGTTATGTCGGGAGTTATCATGGGTTTTTCCTTCCTCAATTGTTTGTAAAGCGTAGGTGACCTTCCAGTTGAAAAAACCAGCAAAGAATCATGACGGTAATACGCTTCCCAAAGAGCATTAAAGCGGAGGAGGGAAAGGTTCTCAGCATCATGGTGATCAACCTACAAGTAGATCATATTCTCCAACTAAATCATTTTAAAAACATAATAAAGCATCAGAGCTGCAAAGACTGACAAATATAAAACATACCATTGTGTGATCAAGATCTGAGACAATCATGAGACGTGCAGAAGACTTTACCCTATCCATGTTAGTCAATCAATCCCCAATTCGATCCTGTAAGTACACACCACTTCAGT